ATGGATATGCTGGAGAGACTCCAACAAAAGGCCACTAAGATGACTAAGGGTCTGGAGAATTTCTCTTATGGGGAGAAGCTGAGAAAGCTAGGATTACTCAGCCTGGAGAAAAGAATGCTCAGGGGCACCCTGTGTATGTAAATAACCTAATGGGGTGGAATAAAGAGGATAGAGTCAGGCTGCTCTCCCTAGTTTCCACTGATAGTGGATGAAGTAATGGGCACAAATTGTAATACAGGAAATTCCATTTGAACATCAGAAAAAAGAGAGGTTTTTTATGTTAAGGGTGATAGATTGCTGGAACAGGTGGTCCAAAAAATGTTTTGGATTCTGCATCCTTGGCAATAACTCAAAACCCAGCTGGACACAGCCCTGAGCAAGTTGCTGTCATTGACATGCTTTGAGCAGGGGGGTTGGGGTAGGCATCCTCCAGATGTCCCTTCCAGTTTTCAGCTGTTCTGTGATTTTCAGTAAATTATTTAAGAGGGTCAAACCAATAAATGTGGCAGTTGAAATGAAACTAAATACAGGTGTTGAAAGGCAGAATATTTTTGTTTGTATTCACAGACAAGTTTGTTTGTTTGTTTGTTTGTTCTTCCCAGCTTTTTTTTTGACAGCTTGGGAAGAGGGGAGAGAACTCTTTGCAACTGTGTTGTTCTGTTGGGTGTCTTAGCTTTCTGCTATTAATACCAAGGCTGTGTATGGCTTTATTGTCAGCTGTGTCCTCTCACTCCTGCAGCAGCAGCAGTGAGGCTACTGTTAGCTTTCCTGCTGCCCAGAACACTGTGCACCACCAGAGGCTTTAAGACAAGGAAGAGTTTTCATCTCATATCTGGAAAGATGTTTTCTCAACATCTGTAATTGGGGTAATTTTTTTTTTTCTTCTTCATAATGTAAAAACATAGGATGTGAACACTATGCTTGCTCCAATGGTCTTTTTACCAATCTTTATGGTGTTTTTTAATTTTTTTTTCTCCTTACATTTGATTTAAACATACTGAATTGATTCACCCATGCTGCTCTTCTGTTGATATTAGAGCTACAAGCTCCTATTAGACTGATGCAAAATACAGAGGTGAAGGAGATGAAGCAGTTGCATATGGATTTAAACACTCTGTTATGTGTAGCTGTAGCATCCTGCCAGTAGAAATACAGTCACAATGAACCTAGCATTTGATCTTGCACCACAGAAAGCACTTCATCCGTTTGTAAGACTAATTTTCAACTCTGTCTTTGGATATGTGAGTTAGATGAAAGTTGGCACTATGTTGAAGAAAATTTGTGTGAATGAAAACCTGAAACTTAAATGGCACTTAAAAACTTTGTGTTGTAAAACTTCAACTTCACACAAAATCGCTGAGCCTAAAAACACTTGTCTACGTTTTTTAGTCCTTATTTTGAGTTGCCTGCTTGTTGGTTGTAATTTCCACAGAAGTTCTCAGATCCAGAAAGATGTTAAAAGTTTTACTTCTCTTTAAATGCTGTCTCATTTGCAAATGAGTAAGTGTGTCTTCACAAGCTCATTTGTATTTTCTGGTAATTAGGACAGCTATTACATAGTTGAATGGCCACTGCCGCATAGGAGCATATATTTATGGAACATATATTTACCGACTGTAAAGATGAGAGTGACTTTTTGATGCAATTAAATATTTGTAGTATTACTGTTACAGTAAATGTTTATCATGTACTGCTCTTCCTAAATATAATGCTTAAACTTTCTATTGAAAAAATGAAAACCACTTTCGTATATTTAAGAACAGTGCCTGCTTTGCACTTTAGAAGTACAGCTTTCCAAACAGCAAGCAAGCAAGGATCATTGTACTGTAGACAGTAAGCAACAAATATAACACCTAGCTGAGATCCAAATCCGTGTGTGTGTGATCTATAGTGTCCTCATCTGTATGTGACACTATTTTTAAAAAAGGCTTCAGGACGGATCTGGGCAAGTACAGATTACTAAGCCTGACATCTGCTCGAAGTATATCAGTGAAAATAATAATCATGAAACTAACATGGATAAACATGATGTATTGAGGAAGAGTTAGAAGCCTGCTGTGAAGGGATGTCATGTTTTGCAAACTCGCTGGAGGTTTTTTGAAGGCAAGTACATGAATAAGCAGGATCTGACAGAAGTGGTTCCCTTGGATGTCCAACAAGCATTTGACGAGGGCCACCACCAAAGAATTTTTGAAGAAACAAGCGGGCACAGGATAGGGGGAAAGGATTTTATGCAGTTAAATTAATGACTAAAATATAAGAGAAGGGTTGGAGTAAATAGAGTAGAGAGGGGCCTCAGGTAATAATTCTCCAGGGTTATGTTAATAGAGCATGTTCAAGTTAATAAGGTGTATAGAAGAAAACTGAGCTCACAGACTTCACTGATGGATAGCAGATGCAAAGGCAGACCCTAGCATTACACAGGGACCTGACATTGCTCAGCAACCAGACATTAAAATGGGAGATGAAATTTCTCATAAATTACTTCGTGTGTTCTATTTGGAGGTGGGGAAGAACAAGCTTGCCTTCTCATCTAAAAAGATGACTTCAAAGCTGACTATTGCCACTAGAAATGGTTAGGAAGGAAAGGGAGAATAATGATTATAACTTCTAAGAAATTTAATCATCTTATGCAGTTTTCCCCTGCTTACACCTATCCCTGTCATTGCTGTAAAAAAAATATAGTTGAAGTTTCAAGGAAGAAAAAATCTGAAATATGGGACAGTTTCTGTAAGAGGAGCAGCATGAATTTGTTAAGGTGGAAAAGGTGACCAAAACTGGTGTGACAGCATCCTGTTAAGTGTTCAGCAACTAATGAGACAAAAATAGGGGGTGTTTATTCAATGTCTTTTTTTAGTGCACGCACGCTAAGAGGAATCTAATGAAAATAGCAGCTAGGAATTGAAAACAGACAAAAGGAGGTGTTCCCAACAGAACGTGTAATTAGGCTATCGAATTTCTTGCCTCAGGAATTTAAGGAGTCTAAACATTACATCACTGTAGAGGGAAACTGCTGTTTCGTGGAAGAATCATCAATTATCTACCTATTCTTGTTCAGGAAATCCTGCTTCTACAAACCATTGGGGGATCAAAGAATATTCTTGGGAAACACTGCTGTGTAATTACTGTATTCTTGCATGCTCCACTCTTGGCTGCTGTTAGTGAGAGGCTATTTGAATGGACATGGACCTCCGGATCTTACTTAGTATAGCCATCACTTTGTTTCAAAGCCTGCCCCTTTTTTATTTTTATTTCTGTTATTGGTTTTCCAGAATCCTTTCTAACAGTAGTACTCAAACTTTGGGCCACGGTGGGGTGCTGAGATATTAAAGGAGGGTTTTAAGGCCACTGGTTACATATTCTTTTCTTTGTGAGACCTTGTGCGTGCAACCAAAATATAAAATCTCCAAAATATAAAATCTGATCATGTTCAGACCAGGGATAGGACTGCAGGTACGTGTCAGTCAATGGCTTAATTTCATAAGACTTTATCCTCTTACTGGTGCATAGAACATTTTGGTCATGTAATGGATGTTCTAAGGAAGAGGTGATTTTGTGTGTGGATAGGTCGAACAAATGCATGGCCTGGGCTGACTGTAGGCAGATTATTTCTGCTCTCCCTTCTGACTCTGTTGCGGTGATTTTGTATTGCACTTCCTCCTCCAGACATGCTTATTGGTAAAAATATACTTCTCTGTGTCTCTCATGACTATTGAAATAGTCAAGAGATCTTGCTACTTGTAAATGAAGTAGTAATAATGCGTTGGATGGCAATATTCCACCTGAGAATCTTCGCACTATTTGAAACAAGAGACTGGTATTTAGTGCAGCTGCCCTGTTCTTTTTGTGAAGGTGGCAGCTCCGCAAATAACTGGTTTTAACTGTTTGGTTCAGTCATAATGGATTATTTTGATTGAGTAGTATACTTTACTATGTAGCTGATTATTTAGTTTCTGCTTTCTGTAGAAACATTTTTGAATTTTAGGCTGAGGTTAAGGAATTAGTAGACTTCGTGAAATATTTTCATCCAGTTACACATCATTATCTGAAGATATGGATTTCCTGATAACTTTCCTTGTATAGTTTCCTTATTTTAAAATAATTATTTTATATTCAGCAAATATCAAGATTTGTACAAAGATGTCAGAAGCATGTGTAATTTTATTTGAAAGGTGTGATTATTTTTCCATGAACAAACTCCTGTCTGCGATGCAGGGGGAAAATAATGGGTGCTAATATTTACACATGACTTTAGCTACTGGAATTAGCTTATTTGTGGCAGTGCTGCTTCTCACCCTGTTGAAGGACAACTTTTCTAGCCTAATTTTTTGAGACTGTGGAAGGAGATGACCATTAGGCATGCAGTGCCACCTAAACTTGTGCATTAGCTGTCAGGAGACAGGTTGGTTAACACCAGCTTTGGCTGCCTGTACATGAGCTGGTTCTGTAGGCTCCCGTTATAGTCAGTGGAGAGAAATAAGCACTTTCACTGCATGATTCATCTCACCCCCAGATGGATGTCTAAATTTGGAAGATGAATTCCACCTGAAGTCCATTACCGAATATAAATGTCATTAGTTTAAACTAGGGAATTATTTTTAAAGGACACTAGCTTGACTGACACAACAATTGAGTAGAAGTCTTTTTTTCTTACATGAATTGTGTTTCAGAGGTTTAAAATCAGCACTCTGAAGCCTGTTTCATATTTTGTGTTGTTTGGAGATGCTCTGCCTTTACAGCAGATTTGAAAGTTACAAGTCAGATATATTCACATTCCTTAATTTCTAAGTATCTAACTCTCCCAGGCTGTCTGACTCTTCCTGACAACTGATGTGATTCCTGGTGTAAGGAGATGACAACAGGGTTATGTGCCCTGCTCTTCTCATTATGCTAGTCCCTGTTATCAGAAAGATGTCTTTCTGCTTGTAACTTTCTGCTAAATGTTAGGAATTTAAGAAAACAAAAAATCCAGTGTCCTTAAAATCATTGCTCCTCTAGAGGACCCTGTGTCCCTACAGTGGTTGTACTCTAAGTTTGTATGAGGTGATCCAGCCCTCAAATTATCAGGAAGAAAAGGTAGGCAGTGCAAATACCTTTTTTGTTTCCGTTTGTCTGCAACAGACACTTGGTATGACTGGTATTCTTTTAAAATACTTTTCATGCTGTGCCATGCTTACACACACAGAAATCACCCCCCTCCCCCCATTCATTTTTCCTGTTTACACATCTTGATTCCTTTCCTGTCATGGGCAATCTCCTAGTCCTTTTTTTTCCCCTTTTGGAAACACTGCTTTTTGTGTCATGATTTGTGGCAACTTTTTCCTCGTCTGATCACACTGATCAAGTCCTGCCATCAGATCCTATCCTAATACTTGAATCAAATATAAAGAATTATTACAATCCTGTTGCTATTGTACCACTTTTATTTTCCTATACCATTTACTATTCTTATGTCCAGTTATATATCAAAGATGGTAGAATTTTGTCAGGTCTGTTGGGTTTGGGGATTTTTTTTTGCATTGAAATGAGTTGGGTTTTTTTTTTGTTTGTTTTGTTTTGTTTTTGTTTTTTTAATTTTTTAGTTCCTACATCAGCCTGAGGGTTCTAGAAAAGTAGATTGGGGTTAAAAAAAATCACAAGAGCATTTGAGCTTATGTATATAATAGAAAAATTTATCCTTTGAACATCTTACTCCACCAGGTACAACCATGGTGGGGAGAGTTCCTCACTCAGAGCTTAGAGGAAATCAGAGGCTGGGAACTTGGACCCAAAAGGTTATTGATGTTCCTAACTGGGAGAATGGATGTTGTACAGATATTGTTTGGGCTCCTTACTTGTACTGACAAGTATGTAAAGCAGTTCTCAACTTTGTGAACAAAAATAGCAAAAGTCAGTAGTAGCTATGTCAAGCTATGGAAAGATATGAGGCAGGTAAAACAAATCACCAGCCCTTAGCACTAGCAGAGAATTTATCAAATAGAGATTGCCAGGCACTTTTAGAAAACAATATCCCCTCTAAGCTGGGACATAAAAAAGCCCATTAGTCTCTACCAGTTGGGAGTGGCTGGGTAATTCTTCCTTTTCCTAGCCTGGCAGTTTAATGCTGGGTGTTGTATGAGCAGATAATGCAAACCTGTCAGTTTGTGTGATAAGGAGCAATTGCTGAGCTCTCCATTGGATGTTGAATAGGACTTTGCTTGGGGACAATATCCCTTCTTCCTGTTTCGTGCTTCTACCAGTACTTGGTAGAAGTATGAAGTGCTACCTACTGCTCCCCTGTGGACAGCTGCAAAGGGGTTACTTCCTTCTGTGTATTTCTCCTTTCTTCTTACTGTGTAGTTGGGGTTTATTGTTGTATTGTGTCTATCTTAGACCAGTCATCAATGAACTGTGTCACTCCTTTGGTGGCTGCAGGTCCAGGCATTTACCTCTGATTCTGTTCAGGCTCATAGTTATACCTCTTAGTACTACTCTTTGTGAATAGAATCTGTGGACTGCTGGCCAGTGGATTCTGGCCAACAGTCCACAGATTGTGCCAAACAGCTGGACCCACTTTTCAGCAGATCCATTTTGTGTTTAGTCCAAAAGACAGTGTTCAAAAATATCCAAAATTAATTCCTAAGGCTAACCTGTGGAATGATAGTATTGCATTGCTTCCTGCTAGAAAGATGACGTTTAGAAGTATTAAGTTTATAAAGCTGGTAAGGATTTAAGGAATTTTGGAAGTTTAGGAGCTTAGCAAGGAAATCCCATTTCTGTTAGATAGGGATGACACATAACTTTCTCTCAGATACATCTTGGGTTTTTTTCAATTTATGAGAAGTGACAAATGCAAGTTTTTACACATCTGTAAACCATCAGTATAATAAGAATTAAAACACTGAAATAAGTGAGAAAGCTACATAAAATATGTCTCCCCCACATTCCAGAAGAGACATAGAACAATGGGAAGACTTTTTCCTTTTTCTTGTTTTATGGTGACATGATAAAATTATTATATAAGTTATTTTAAGTGCTTATATTTTTATTTTGTTTCCAATAAATCCTTGGGTTTATTGAAATTTTCAGTCAGACATTGGAATCTGCAGCAAAGTGGTTTTCATTTAAGCTGTTTTAATCATGCTGCTTATTTTTGAAGATCAGCAGTTCTGTCATTGAAATATCTGTATCAGGCAACATTAGTTCTTTTTGAATAGTGTAAGTTTGTTGTTTCCTTGTTACTCATGACTGAGATCATTCTGACCTGTGACCAAAATTTTAAAAACTCATGCAGGTTACTGAGGAGTAAGTTGTTTGGCATGCATGCTTCTGCTAAATCCCTAACAACTTCCTTCCACCCTTCAATTTAACATTTAATTGAAATGGAAATTGTCCTTCCTTCTGGCAGTACTTCTAGAGTCAAAAGAATATTGCTAAAAGCCCTGCTTACTGGTTATGAACAAGGAAATTTGTTACTAAACAGCAGTTAATTAGCCTAAAGAGAATTCTTAAACATACTTTGTTTACTTCTGAAAACAAGGTACCAGAGTGATTGAAAATACAAAATGGCCAAGGCTTTACTTACCTATTTAGAAAAACATTGCCTGAACTGGTCAATAAAAACTGAAAGGTATCTTTGTGCTGTGGTGTACCCTTTTGGAAGTTAACAGTATTTACTTACATGAAATAAGTCAGAACTATTTCCTATTGCTCTTTGATTATTAGTAGTTTGTTTCTCTTTTAAAGATAACTTTCAGCCCTCTAATTGTTCCAGCATCTCTTCTCTCCTTTACTCACCCTTCTGTATTACTGTTTTGTTTGCTATCCTGTACCATGACTAAAACTTACGAAAGTTATCTGTTTTGTTCACTTTGCTCGTGTTCAGGGAGTAGTGACTGGTGATGTGTGTTATGTGTTGTTGGCCAGTCCATGCTTGGAACATATATTAGAGGGAACTATGTCAGAGGGAAGGCCCCTTTCCATTAATATGGAAAATCTTTTAAAAAGGGAAACAAAACTGATGTCATCTCTAAAATATCATTACAAAACTTCAACATTGTTTTTGAGCTGTATGTTGATAAGGCTCTGCATCACAGGAAATACTAAGATGGTTTCCCTCTGTTTCACTCCATCAAATAAATACCCTCAGGAAAAGCTAGTCTTTGACATCTTCTGCAGAAACGCTTTTATGAACTGTGTTTAAAGCCCTTTCAGTGGTTTTAAGTGGTAGAGTGACAATCAGCAGAAGATGAGTTGAAACAAGAGCAAACAGGAAGCAAACACTATGTTGTTCCATGTTACATGCCGTCATTGCAGGCTTGGTATGCTTGGTACAAGTCTCTCTGATTGCTAGACTGGAGCTGGAAAGGGTTGAATATTTTGATCCCTAAAGCAAAATGAAACAACATGAATGTAAGGGAAGGTAGTACCCTAGTTTTAGAAAGCTAAGATTGATTTTTTTTTTTTTCAAGCAAGTTAATGAAATCACTAGTTGAAGTGCCTGCATTCGGAGCAAAACTTTTCTGCTGGAGATACAGGATACACCTACTTGCAGGAACCAGCCCTTGTTTAGGACAAGTGGCTGTAACCTACAAATAAGCCAGTCTTGCTTACAAAGACAGGAAGAATGTGAGTGCTTTCCTGTGGTGGTGTGCTTGCTGAGGTGCAGCAGCTATGTCTTCATCCTGCAGAAGCAGATGAACTTGGAAGGTAGAAGTGCTGCATGGCTGAACTCCATGCACAATGCAAAACACAGTGCCAGGTGCTTGCAGGGCAGATGATGAACAAGGCAATGCAGTCTTGGAGATATGCATAAGAAACTCTGTATAGAGTAGTGGTGAGACTCTTACTGTGTCCTTTTGTCTCTGCTTTCAGATGAGTGATAGAATTTTGAATTTTTTTTTTTCAAATTTGTCCTGCAGCTCCAGGATTAGAGTTATCTGGATTAACTGAGAGTCATGTCTGTTTAATACAGAAAAATTATTATTTACTTTCAGCAAGAAGGATGTGCACCATGCTTTCAGGGTATGGACAATTCTGTTCAAGAGCAATGCTGAAAAAGACCTAAGAATCATAATGCTGCTGTCAAAATAAATACTAAAGATCTCAAATGGGCCCAGGGAGCATCATGATTTTCCACAAAGTCAAGTGCAAAGTCCTGCTCCTGGATCAGGAAAATCCCCAGTAGCAATACAGACTGGAGGAGGAAATAGTTGAAAGCAGCCTTGCAAAGAAAAAGATCTGTGTTGGTGGATGAAAAATTGGGCATGAGGTGACCATGTCCTGGGCAGCATTAGAAATGTGGCCAGTAGGTCAAGGGAGGTGATTCTGCCCCTCTGCTCTGCTCTGGTGAGACCCCACTTGGGGTGCTGTGTCCTGCTCTGGGGCCCTGACCATAAGAACAATGTAGAAGTGTTAGAGCAGGTCCAGAGGAAATCACAAAGATGAGCAGAGGGCTGGGGCATGAGGACAGACTGACAGAGTTTGGATTGTTCAGTCTGGAGGGGAAGTGGCTCCAGGAAGAGTTATTGTGGACTTTGGGTATATAAAAAGCACAGAGAAGGACTTTTACCAGGGCCTGTAGTGACAGATCAAGGGTTTAGCAGTTTTAAACTGAAAGACCATAGCTTGGTATCCCATGCAAGTGAGGAATATTTCAGGGTGAGGGTGATGAGACACTGTAGCAAATCACTCAGAGTTGTTGTGGATGCCCCATCCCCAGCCAGGTTGCATGGGGTCCTGCTCAATGAGAAAGATATCCCTGCTCAGGCTCATGTGGGCTGGAACTAGATGATCTTAGAAGATCCTTCCCAATCCAAAACATTCTGTGATTATATGTAAGAAGGATTAAGGAATATCCCCTACCTTGAATGCCATGTCTGTTCCTAATGATCACTGTTAATGGGAGTTTCTGAAAAAACTGAGGGATCTTGGAGGGTATTTGATGAGGTGATTGAGTGACTGAAGAGCCACTTGATAGACTGGAGCCTAGTGGGACTGCATGAGTCTTGACAAAGGGAAGGTCTAAGCAAACTGTGATCTTTATTACACTGGAAACAGGGACAGGTAGGGCTCCAAGGCAAAGGTGTTTTCTGGAT